TATTATTATTATTATTATTATTATTATTATTATTATTATTATTATTATTATTATCATTATTGTTGTTGTTGTTGTTGTTAATGAAATACTTGATTCAATCATTACGAAGGGCGCTCTTTTTAGCTCTTTGGAATTTATTCCATCTGTAGTATTGAACTAAAAAAAAAACTCGAAAAAATATAATGTCTATCTTCTATTGAAGTTAGAACGAAAATCTATGAAGTATAAAACGTCGATATGTCTGATAAAGATATTATAATGTGTTTTTAAAGGTATGTATAGAATGGAGACAGTTTTGACGGGCAGACAATAAAAACATCTGCTCAATACCCGGTTTTCTGGCATTAGCTCGACGACTACTGTATTTATATTTATTTATTTATTTCAACAATGCTTATAGTGGGCGACTCTTATTTAACTCAGCAGGGGCGGATTTTGAAACAGGTTCAGAATAGATAACTGAGCACACATAGGCCTATCATTAATATGCATTGACATTTTTAAAATTTAGTGACAAAACGGGGGGGGGGACGTTTCCCCTGTGCCCCTACTGGATCCGCCCTTACTCAGAATAAAAAAAAAAAAATCAAAAATTTAATATAATAAAACAATTCTTAGCCGTGTCACGTCTCTAAGTCAAGGTATTGGAACAGAAAAGAGTACATCTTGGTTCAAGCAATTATAGAATTTATAAGAATGGTTTCACGTACCCCCATTTAGTTTCTTTCTCTATCCCCATATCTTAGTACGTAAGCAGGGCACGGCTCTCACGCCCATACGCTCGGCCTACGCGATTTGGAGCGCAACGCCATGACGCGCACGCTTGCAACGATCGTTTTTAATGATCTGGGGCCGGATTTATCAAACTAGAAAGCAGCTTAGTCAAATTTATCAATATTGCTTTAACTTAAAAGTTCTAAAAATTGAATCGATTGTACGTATGAACCATCTAAGACGATTTTTAAGCTAAGATTTTGCTAAGATGGTTTGATAAATCAGCTTAAGAAATATATTTGCTTAGGACATTTAAACTTTTTTGACTTAAGATATTTGCTAAGCTGAGATTGATAAATCCCGGTTTTACACTGGCGAATTTATTCGCGAGAATCGAAAGCGTCGATTCCCTTCCTGAGCTGATTGGTTGCACATTTTTTCGCATCGCAAGAAGTAGAAACAGTTGGAAACTACTGATTTCGCTGAAGCGGAAAACTCTGACAGATAATATGAATGCGCATGCGCATAAACCGACGCTTTCGATTGATTCGCGCGAATAAATTCGTTTAGTGTACGGCCTTTTTTAAACTGATGGATTGGATTGGATTGGATTTATTCTGTGTAAACACCAAGGATAGCCCACGAACTAGATGAAGACTTATAACCAGTGAGGTCCTTCTGGTGGTGATTGGGCAGTACACGGGAGACAATCCCCTACTCTTTTCCGAAAAGTGTATCGCGTTCTTTAACGTGCACATGGGCCATAAATGAACACGGACCAACGTTTTAAATGTCTCATCAGAAAGACGGTACGCTATTTTAACGTTCAGCTGAAAAGCAGCGATGGGAATTGAACCGGGGACCTACAGATCTCCACTGTTTAGCGCACACACAGTTGTCACCGCCAGATTAGCCGAGCTAAACTACTCTCTCTATACATTTGGTAGACGACGTCGTGTCATGTAGCTGTCGTACGTCGCGGTAAGTGCCCGGTTTTAGGGCTAAGGCGCATCAGAAAAATAAAAAGAGAGAAAAAGAGAAAGATCAACAGAAGCACAGAAAATTTGAGTTCTGTATCCGTTTACATTATAAACATACAAAACCATTACCAGCAAAAGCCAATTATAAAATATTCACATTATCAACGAGACCCGATGTTATTGTCTAGTTTTTTAGAGAATTATAAATTTTTTCTCGTTAAACAGGCGGAAACAATATGTTCCGTAGCCTACATTCCATGTTTAAAAATATGACTTTTGTATTAGAATTTTACAGCAAAGTATGGCCGACCATCTTTAGAGCAGGATAAAGCAAGACCATTATTTAGATTGTGTGAATGAAGCTCTACAGTACATATTAATATATGCCGGTAGTAAGTAAGTGTGGTGTTTACATTGTAAGTGTGTTGCAGAAGAACTATCCCATTTTTCGCCAAAGTGTGTAGAAAGTTTTGAATTTGTTTTTTGCCAAAACGTGACACACTGGACTGGCCCACTGCTAGTGGTCTCTCCTCCCTCATTTGAATGCAGTTCTGAAATAAAAAGCAAAGCGGCAAAGTGGAAGCAGTTTGGCGCAGCGAGAACGGGTTTTGGTTTCCAATCCCAACCTCGAGGTCGGGGTTTTAATCCCACGCTGTGCATTTCGCTTGTGTCCTTGAGCAAGACATTTATCTGCATTGCTTCTCTTCACCCAGGAGTATAAATGGGACCCTGGTGGTGTTACCTGCTCCTGCGCTGATTACCAGCATCAACACTTAGCATGTGGACCCAATGACCAGGGAAAAGAACTGCGCTTTATAACTGCAAGGAAGAGGCGCATTATAAATGACCGTACCAACACCAATACCAAATACAAAATACAACGAAACCATCCTCTAGCTCGGGATAAACCATTTTTGTAGTACTAATTGTAACATTTTAACAGAGAGACAACATACAGTACGTCGAAAATTGTGCTATCAGATACTATGATACTATAATTATTTTTATCAATTTACAGTCATTTTCAATATATTCATGTAGTAAACATTTTACAGCATTAAAATCCTTTTTTTTTAAAGTTTTTAAAATTGTTTATATTTCACCCGTAAAGAATATTGAATCAATCCAATAACACCGACCAATCAAAATCGAGTTTGCACCCATGTCAACATACCGCCGGCTTCCGTCTTATGCGCGACCTCTGATAACCCTCTAATAACTCGTAAGTTTCCACCACGCTCGTAATTTCATCTTGTAACGAAGTAGGAATTTTGTATAAAGAGTTGTTTTAATTTTATAATATTTAAAATGACTGCAGACGGACATGGAAAAACAGGGAAGGATTTCAAGGAATATAAGAGGTTGGTATGGTACCATTTTCATGTTTCATATATGCAGGTGTCTTAGGCCTCACATCACATCATCTTTTTAGATTCAACTTCCTTCAAGACGTTTAATAACGCGGTGTTTTTCCATTGACCTAGGCCTACCTTTGTTATCATCAGTATCATAAGCATGCAGTTTCACGATGGACCTCGTGTTGAATTACACACTACGCGGAGTGATTAATCTCTTTGTTCAGTTTTTACCATGTGTATGTAGCGGGATATTTAGTGACTAGGCCTAGTAGTAGATATATTGTTTAATTAATTTGTGACATGTTTGAAGGTAGCAATATAAATCCACATATTTTATTTCTTATATGCTTCGAACGGTGGTATGGTAATTGTGTTAAATCCTTTTTCTTTTAACTGAATGGACTCTAAAGGTTGTTCCTCCTTCAAAAATTCCTTGAGGAGCAATCGGATCTCTAGGCCTATATTATTTTAGATAGTATCACTAGAATAGGCTAGGCCCTATATATGACTATTATATATATATTTTTTACAATTTTTATAGTCCTGGTCTTGTTTGAGAACTCTGTGAGTGATAAACTGTACTGGACTATATGATAACTGCAAATTATATTCTCCATTTTCCAGCCTGCATCTTCTAATCCAATGTTCAGCAAACTATAGGCCGCGGCCCAAATTTGGTCCGCGAAATATTTTTGGAGGGCTGCGAAGCCGTCTGAGAAATTGGAAAAAAAAATTACAAAGATATGTTTAAACATGTAGAAAACAAACTAGAGGGCATTCAGAGAAGTTTCACACGGGCATGTTTCTCATACATAAGGCACGATGACCCAGATCATGTTTCATACCATAGCAGACTACATAGTCAAAATGAATATTACTTTACTGTACAATCGCCTGAATTACCTTTATATTATGTTTGTTGTAAAATGTCTCCATAACTTGTTTTCCATTAATCCGTCATCTCTATTACTAAACACCAAGTCATAGAAACTCTGATCATTTAAAATTTGTACATCAAAAATCCAGAACTTAATGCCTTTTTTTAATAGCACCTTCATTAGATTTCCAAGGGTCTGGGATTTAATTCCTTCTAATATTCAAGACATTGATTTAAGAAACTTTTCTAATCAACTAAAGCAATTTTTGTATGGAAACAATATTGGAAATTAATGCTATCTGTTTTTATAACTTGTTTAAATAATTTTACTGGTGGCGTGAATCTTCTTTTACATAATTAATTTATCCTCGTAATTGTGTCACTGCTGGTTTGGACATCCCTCGGAAAGTGATTAGGTTCACTGTTGGAGTTCCCCGGGCCAGCACTTGTGACATTTTATTTTTGTTTTGTGTGTGTGTTTTTTTCCGGAATAAATTGAATTGAATAATTGGATAAAAAAAAGTTGTTTTAATAAAGCCACTTCATTGTTACAGCGAATGCGCAGCACCTCCTTGCTTGTACAGTACAAACTGCTAAAGTGCCAGATTGATGATGCGTGCGTGCTGTTTGAGCTATAAGCGGTTTTTAATGTCAACAACAATAATACTGTATACAAGAACACAAACTTTACTTGCTTGTTTCGGTATGTTGGTCCCTGATGCAGCTGGTTTGCTGGGCCGTGGCTTGTTGCCTAGCAACGCACATAGGCTGTCAAGTAAAAAGTTTGCGGAACGCTGTTCTAATCCATGCTCAACTTCTCTTGTCTTGCTCAGCCCAGGCCAGGCCACACATTTAATCATGTTCTGTGTATAAAACAAGGAAGGAAGTAGCCTACTGTAATTCTATAATTGTAAGAATTAAAATGCTAATGAATTGAAATAGTCAAGGAATTAATGGTCCAGGCTTCATCTAGAGTAGACACAGCATTAGGCTAATACTCTTTATTAAGGGCCCGTTCGAGCGAAAAACGCAAATCGTATTCCGGTGAATTCACCGGTTAATCGTGCCGAGCACACAGCGGGTGGTCCACTGTTTGAGCAAATTTTAGCTCATGTCGAATACCGTGTAACGAAACTATTTCGGAAGTAATTTTGTAAGGTCATTCAGAAACACCAATCCCATCAACCCATTCTTTGTTTACTTCTGCTTGCTTAAACGATATGCGGGAACGATTTGTATTGAAGTTTAATTCTCTGAGTACTGTACTGTAATGGTAATTTTACAAATTGAACGTGTAGCTATGCTACTAGCCACCATTATGGCTACAATGATGCGGATGGATTTACTGTCCAATCCAACTTTGATTTCGCTGTGAACATGAGGAGGCAAAGAAGAGCGCGACGACAGCGGGTACTTGCTGTGTACGAACCATTTGGCAAAGCAATTAAGGTTGATTTATCATTGTCTCCGGCTCCAAGGCCATCTCATACACGGAATTCTACCCAGCAATTTGGTGGTCAAAATTGTCGCGGATAATCCAGATGGTAAGGAAATTAGGCGCGTGTCCGAGCGGTTTTAGAAAGTGTGTACCAGTGAATTAACTGGAAAATCGCACGGATATTTTTTCGCTCGAACGGGCCCTAACTAGACACAAAACTGGCATTTTTCTCTACTTTCAAATGACAGAAAATGGATCACCATGCCCTTGACTCAAACTTTTACCAATAGGAAGTGATTATTTACATGACCAAGTCCAAAGACTTCCATACAGCCATGCCAAACTGCATGTGTGAATGACTGTTGTATGATGATGAGTGAAAATAGCCACTTTACAGTTACCCAACAAATGAGTCAAGGACATGATTTTAACTAAAACTGAGGCTTCTGCCAACATCAAATTCTGGGAATTAAAGGTGAAGCTAACATTTTTTCTGCTCTTACAAACATCTGACGGCAAAAATTAGGCTTCCATGTATCAAAAGTTTAAACAAGAAACTTTTTTTTTTTACAGTGGTTTGATTTCACTTTCAAATCAAAATTATGCCATTTTAATTTCAAACTTTCTACAAATTCTCAAGAGGTCTGGTTGGTTTTTACATAAAAGCCAAATAAAATTAAGTTTAACATCCCTGCCTTCATAAAAGAATATAGTTAAAAACTTTCTTTTATCGTGTCTAATAACGGTTTTTTTTTTTTGGCACAGTGTCAATTCCGTATGCAGCAAGACGAGAAGAAAAACTATATTGCTACTTTACTCATTTCACCTATGAATATTCAATTGTATGTGTCATACGGGAATAAAGAGCGTTCTAGCTCAGGCTCACGTACCGTGATGGCATGTCAATGAACTGTCCCAATGTTTATATAAGTTATATAAGCTATATACTTTAATTAGTGAATACACAACAGGTTTCTATCATGATTTGCTGTAGAAACAAGCTTTTGTGAGCATTTGTATACAGAGAATAATCATTAATTGTCAAATATTTTGATTGCGTTGCAGGGTTCCGTCAGTAGAGAAGATCCCTATACCTGACAGCAATTTTGATAAAATGGAACCAGAAAAAATTCCAGCAAAGGAAGGCCAGATGGTATGTTAAATTCTAAATCTTAGTTCATAGAATACCGCATCAATATGTTCTGGTACCATGTGACACCGCTTCATACCGTATAGTATACCGACTAGCTACTGTAACTACCAAGCGGCCAATAAAATTGCTTTTACAGCTACGTGATAGCCCATAGATTTTTCAACTGATGTATCAAAACATAATTTCAGATTAAAAATGTAATAAATGCACAAAAGCAACTGTTTGTCAGTATGAATCTGATGTCAATTTAATTGCAATAAGTTTAAAAAAGACAGAAATATAATAGTAGTTGAAAATGCTGAATACTGCCACTCGGTCTTATTGACTGTTTGGTAGCGTTGTTAGGCCTGGTAGGCGTGTCTTGTGACGTCGAACAGTAAAATATGCATTGGGTCTCGCCATAAAGAATAGTATGCTTTAATTGAAAACAGTCATTATTCTAAGGGTATGTTCACACACACAGCGTAAGGCTGGCGTAGTGTACGCCTTTGTGTGTGAACTGGGCATTGGTGTTACTTACGCCACTCACAACGCCACCTCTGTGGCGTTATTAACGCTACCTGCAGACCCCAGATTAGCTAATGCCACAGAGCTAACACCAGTGATGCTTGAATGATTTGACCTCATTTCATGAGATTGACCAATCATGATTGCAGTAGATTAGTTAGTTTGATCTTTTTCCTGTGCTCTCTATAAATGAAAATATGGTAAAGGGGTTCTTTTTCTATTGTTGATTGTGTTTTGTAAGATATTTTAACCAATTTAGACTTTTTATTAAAACCTGCAACACCAACAATTGTTCCACAATGCTAGCTGAAAAATCAGAAGTAAAATTGTTTAGTTAAAATACAGTAATCATAAGAAGTTCACTTCAAACAAATCACTGATTTAAAAGTTTTAATGATGCACTGTAAATATTTTACTTCAGTTAAGAACACGTACATTATTTAAAACTGAAAACTATTCCCCCAAAGGCCTATGTTACTACTAGTTTAACGCCAGCGTTAATATACCAAACACTTTGGAATTTTAATCCATGGATTAGCTTACGCTGGCGTAAGCTACACCAGTCTTACGGCGGCGTATGTGTGAACATACCCTAAGGATTGCCAATGCCTCCCCTACTCTTATGGAATTTATGTGAATGATGTAATAATGCTATAAATAGGTGAAGCTGTGCTAGTCAGGTATGTTAGCTTATCACTTGCACATGTTTTAAATTATACTGAACCAGTGAGTTTTGATAAATTGTTGCATGTTTGATAACCCTAGCATAGAAAACAACAATAAAGTTCTAACATTGTTTATTAGTAAATTGCAACATTGCTCACGTCTTGAAAGCTGGTAAACTATATTTCAATATTGTTTACGCATTGTTTATCAGCCCAACGATCCAGTCTACGATCATTGCAAAGCTAATTAAAATAACAATGACCTTCGTAGTGGTTCGTAGCTACATTCAAAACGTACCTACGAGCAGATTATGAGAGGTTACGCGCAGATACCAAGCGATAATTTCTGTCTGTAATGTAGCTAAGCATATGCCTACTTCACCAGCTAGGCCGTAGCCTAGCTGGCCTTCAACGTCAACAAACTTGTTCGGAAAGGGTTCAATAGATATGTTACACTAACCAAACTTTCTGGAAATCCGAACATCGTAACCGGTCGCGAGGGGGGTCGGTATTGGGAGAGTGTACTTTATTTATTATTTCTCTACATGTAAATATTGGAAGTTAAATTTGATGTCTTGTTGACTGTATAGCGATTAACGTTCATCTGCAGTATTTCTTTAATCCCCCCTCCCACACCATCCCGGAAAATAATCACTGGCCTAAAAATTATGGTGAGTGTTTTATTGCTCGCCTGCCATTTTCAAATGACAAGGCCTGTGTATTTAGGATCCTCATTTCATATTAATTATGACCACTGCAAAGTTGTGGTGGTTATTTCTTTATTTTTATGAATCGCATCAGTGTTTCAGAGTTTAGCAAGTTGAATGTCCTTTGGTCTGCACCATATCAATGCATTATGATATAATCTAACACAGGAAGCAGATAGCTGTCCAAACATTGGTTATGAAGATTATTAGATTCATAAATCATTTAAAGCATATTTTTATCTGAATTCGGTTTTAGTGATTTGGTATCACCAAAACTGAAACCAAGCTAGTATTTTTCCATCATACTGTACAACAAAACAGATATTTATACACTTTAATAACCAAACAAAACAAATTAATAACCAAAAATACTGAAACTGATACAAAAATGGAAAAATCTATTTGTGCTTAAATCTGTTTTTGGTGATACCCATCTCATAGTGTCATTGTGCATATGGGCTTCAGGGATAGTTATTTGTGGGAAGAAGGTGGTGGGTGGGGGGCACACCAAGCCTTGAAGTTTTCCACCCAGTGAAGCTAATTTCATGGCCTTTCAACCCGTCTTTATTACTTCCTTGCTCATCCTAAAAAATCAACTCTTATTAGTTTATCAATGTAACTGTAGTATTCTTAGTTAAGTGATTAGTGTAAAAGTCTAATAGCAACTCTGCAACTCTGATACAGAAGACTTAATTCTACTAGAATGGCACATGAAGGCTAGATTGATACTGAAAATAGATACAGACAGATACTAAATAATAATAATAAGTTAATTAGATATAGCAAACAATACAAAAGCTTCCGCAGACACTACGGAAGTAGAGGAGAAGATAAATCGCTTAGATTGTGAAACAAAGAGATTTTAATATTAATTATGTGCTTTCTCTTCCATATCAAATCAACATAAAATGATGCTTTGTGATGATACATTCAATCTGGTATTCATTGTCTTCTCTAAAAAAAATTCTAAGCTAATGTCACCACCTACTCCTCCTACTGTCTTCCGCTGTACATTTTTTTTTTATAAGAACACATTTTATAAGAACACTGAGGCCGAAAATGTATAAAAAATTAAGTATAAAATAATAAACTCGAATGAGGTTTTTTAATTTTTTTTTTTAAATAGAAAAAAACCAACAAATCTGTTCTGTACCTTATTTGCAGTAGATGTGACTATGTAATATAATACCTGTCCCTGCTCAGTGGAGGGTATGATTTGTCTATATAACATTAGAAATGGCTTCCTTTCATGGTTATAAAATTGGTAAGAATCCAATTTTCCATTTCAGAATATTAGAACCATATTTTTTTGTATTTATGACATGTATTGTAAATTGTTGTTGCTGCAAAAGTCTATAAAATTTGACATTCTTAAGTGACATAACACAATTTTTTTTTTTTTTTTTAAAATACATTTTTATTGCTTTCTAAAAGGACAGATCCTGCCTGTGCCCCCTGCATTGTTCAATTGATTTTTGATGCTTCAGTAGAGGTCTTGCTTAGATTGTTCTACATTAGCAATCATAGTGGTCATCCAATTTCTTGGATGACCATGATTAAAATATGCATGCTGGGGTGGGGGGGGGGGGGGAGGGC